CTCAACTTCTCGAAGAACCCAACCATCCCTATCTCTCTCACCGTCCAAGAGGCTCTCTCGGGTCCCCATGCTGCCGAGTGGCGCGCTGCCATGGAAGCTGAATGTGAAGCCTTCACTCGCAACTAGCCATGAGTTAAGTGGCGAACATGAGTTCGGTTCGCCCGAACATGTTCGAGGGCGAACCAAAATTTTCTCTCTTTTATTTGGTTTGAATGTTCGCCCTAACATGTTCGGGTTCGGCCCGAATTTGTTCGGGCGTTCGCGGTGCGCACATTTAAAATGCCCGAACATTGAACATCTTCGGGCATAAATCCCGTCCTCCCGAACATCTGATGTTCGGGAAAATTCCAGCGCGACATTTGTATATGTTCCTAGTCGGATCTAGCGCGGATTAGGATTAGTAGTGTTGTAGTGGAGTAGATTAGCATGTGAAGTGAGTTTGTGTTAGCTTGCGTCAGATTTGTGTTTGAAGCCTGGTTGGGTTTGGGAGGTGAATTGCAGTACTGTAGGTTTTGGGTGGGGTGGGCTGGTTGGGCGAAAATTGCGAAATCGTCGTCGCGAATAAAGTTCAATGCAGATCAAGTCGAAAGTGTGGAACGCGAAATTGTGCGAACATCTCCCACCCCACCAATTGTTTCCCCCGTCAGCCCAGGAAGAAAAACCCTAAGACACCCCAACGTTTCTTCTGTTTCCCGTCATTCTCCCACGATTTTGCGTTCCTATTCTTCAAGCTTGTAGTCTTGAGTCAATGGGTGAACCTGAACATGTGAGGTGTTCGCCTACTGTTTATATGTTCGCCCACGCTGGGTGAACATCGAACACCAAATTTTACGAAAAAATGTTCGGGCGAACAGAACATGTTCGTTTCGCCCTATAAAGGTGTTCATGACTGTTCGGGCGAACACCGAACGTGTTCGCCCGGTGCTCATGCCTACTCGCAACCACTCCTTTAACGACGAAACTCCACCTCCAAGAGTTAACATCGTTGGGGGCAAGTGGCTATTTCGAGTGAAACAACTTCTGGACGAGGCCCCAGTGTTCAAGGCGCGCTATGTGGCCGAGGGACTCACTCATCAGCAGTAATTTGACTTCTTCAAAGCCTTCTCTCCCACATCCAAACCACCCACAATTCGCACGCTCTTGGATGTAGCCGCACGAGAAGACTCTGAGATCAAATCCATGGACGCCTCTTTGGCATTCCTGCAAGGACACCTCAAGGAGACTGTGTTCATGGACCGACCTGAATGCTTTCCAGGAGAGTTTCCTCCCAACACTGTGTGGAAGCTGAATTGGCCTGTCTACAGCCTCAAGCAAGCCCCTCTTGAATGGCACAACAAAGTGAAAGAAATCCTTCTCTCATTGGACTTTCACCCATCATCTGCTGACCCGATTCTCTTCATTCGCCGTCACTCCGAGCCATTCTACATCCTTGTTTGCGTCGATGATTTCATCCTCGTTGCCAAGGACTTGGCCCAGATGAACTCTGTCCAGGCGGCCCTGTGCAAGGCTCCCCTGATGAAAGACCTTGGTGACCTCAAGTACTATCTGGGGATGGAGATCACTCGTGATCGCAAGGCTCGCACCATCTCACTCTCTCAGAAGTTCTACATCAACAATGTGCTCAAGCGTTTTGAGATGGAGCTGTGCACACCCATGGCCACCCCGCTGCCGCTGCAACACCTCCTCGCAGCTCCAGCTGTGCCGACACCAGAGGCCTACTCTGAGCCACACCCGGAGCTTGTTGGGTCCCTCATGTACGCCATGATGTGCACCCGTCCTGACCTGGCATACCCCGTGAGTGTCCTCTCTCGCTATGTGGCTCCTGGACGCTTCACTGAACTTCATTGGAAGGCGCCAAAATGGGTGCTGCGCTATCTGCAAGGCACCAAGTCTCCTGTACTCACACTTGGTGGCAGGGATGAGCAAGAGGCGAACACGAATGTGTTCGCGTTAGCCCCTGCACGAACACTGTTCGGTTCGCCGAACACCTTTAGCAAAAAAAGGTGTTCGCCGTTCGCCTGTGAAGGCGAACACCTTGGTTTCGGAGGCGAACACGAACGTGTTCGTGGCAAACACGTTCGTATTTGCTTTTGGGCATCCTTTGTTATGCTCGAAATACACAACGGCGGGCAGGGGAATTGCGGGACACTGGAGGAAAAAATATAGGCTGGATCTGGCTTGTGCTAGTTAGGGATCCATATTTTTGCTTATCTAGACGAACACCCAGGGCTACTGCTTCACCCTTGGGAGCGGAATTGTCACCTGGTGCTCCACCAGGTCGTCTGCAGTCTCCCTCTCCTCCTGTGAGGCAGAGCTTTACGCTGGCACCATGGCGGCTCAAAAGGCTCGTTGGCTCACCTTCCTTCTCCAGGAGCTTGGCTATCCTCAGCTACCCCCACCCTCTGGTGTGACAACAATAGCACAATCCACCTCTCCGAGGACCCCGTGTATCACACTTGGCTGATATGTTTACCAAGCCCCTTGGGAAAGTTCCTCACCATCGTCTCCTTAGCGCCATGGGGCTCTGCGCTCCACCTTCTCTGCCCTGAGTTCGATTGACGTCTATGGGGGGGTGTTAGTGTTAGACCTCAATCTCACACTTTGTATTTTGTACTTTCTATATCATAGCATAGTGTAGTTTTGCACTTTGTGTTTGGTTGGTTGTACACCAACATCCCAACCAAACCCAAATGTGATCTCCAAGCAATCTCCAACCCACCAATTGGAGATTGCCTTGGGATTACCCCTAATCCCTAGAGATTGCCTCTAATTCCATTCCCATCCTTTCCTTGCCCATCCTGGATGTACTTAAAGAACTTCAAGCTCATTACTTATGCATGGATTCTAAGCTCAAGTTCTGACAGGAGACACCATGGACGTCATACCACTCGTCATCTCGCTTCTTTAAGCAAGTTGCCTCAGGGTGGTTGGTGCCTCTGCATTTCTGCCCTGCACGTGGACCCTTCCTAATGATGTAGGGGCATGGAGGAAAGGAGTTATGCCTCGGTCCTTGCTCGGAGCGGAATGGGATACCAGGGGTGTAGCGCACAACATTGACGGATGCTTGGGCCGCAAGGTCCTTTTCAGCAGAAAAAATGGCCAATGCGACTTTCTCGAAAGTGAGTTCCTTGTAGGCCGGGGTAAGTCCTACAAGTAGCCCAGCTGCAGGTGCCTGTTCGGGAAAGGTGATACCGATGTCCTTGAGTTCCTCATGGATGTTACGGATTTCAGAAATGTAGTCCGCCATGCCCGGGCATTCCTCGAGGCGGACCTGGAACATGTGAGGGATGAGGATGGCAACTCCCATTGCGTTCTTGTCATGGAAACGGTCTTGGAGGTACTTCCAAATGTCATGCGTGGAGCGGAAAGTGCGGTAGGACTTGACAAGTTCAACCGAGGTGGTGGTGATGAAAGCCCTAATCACTGCGGCATCTGCCTGCTCCCACACACTGAAGTCAGTCTCATACTTGGTGGTGTTAGCTTCTAATGCGGTCTTGTCTGTGGGTGTGGCTCCTTCGGCAAGAGGATCGGGAGGGAGAGGCAACTTTCCCTTGCCGCGGTTGAGGAGGATGACCTTGAGGCAAATCCCTTCAGCTCCGTGCTAAGGAGGTGTTTCTCCACTCCATAGCACCATTCCCCAAAGTTGGTGCTCATGCCGTTGGGAGCGAGATTGAGAACGATGAGATTTCCGATGAGGGTTGAAGTTGAAGTCGCCATTCACGTGGAGCGCAGCGCTAAAGTCTCTACTACGGAGCGAAGCAGAGCGGAGTGTCTGCGCGCAGCGTGGCGATTTTTGAAATTAAGGAAGTCCGGAACTCGATTTCGGCGAAAGAAAGCCCCGATTCTGGTCTGCTGCTCTGCTTCGCCGATGCCCCCTGTTCTGCTTCGCCGCTGCCCCTTTTCCGCTTCTCTGCTGCGCCGCTGTCCTGTTCTGCTGCGCCGCTGACCTGTTCTACTGCGCCGCTGACCTGTTCTGCTGCGCCGCTGAGACCTGTTCGAAGTTAAGAAATTGAGAAATTTGCCACGGAGATTTTAAATTCCAGAAGCTTACGAAGAAGGAAGTTGAAGGCGGAATTTGTCGCCGTGAAAAACCGAAATGCACGATGAAGGATGACGAATGCGCTCTTTGACCGGCGCGACGATGTGAAGTTAGAAACCGCTAAGCGTAGGAGCTGGGAGCCAAAATAGGCATAGCGTAGAGGAAGAGAACCATCTTGACGCCAAGGATCGGATTCCGTGTGAGCGGAATTTACTAGCTCTGATACCATGATAGAATTGGAGCTGAACTGATTGATTAGTAGAGAAGGCACTAGGCCTTAAGTACAAACAAGGTTGGGTTGAGCAATGTTAGTGAAAGGATGGGATCGGAATCCTAGCAAATCTCCAATGGTGTGTTGGCAGATTTGCAGGATTACGAGGGAATCTCAACCAGATAGGGTTAGGATTACAATCTACACCCAACCTACAAATAGCCTACAAGATATAGAATGTAGTACAAAAAATGTTGACAGCCTATTTCTAACAAAGGTGGGGAGAAAGAGGCCGTCCATTGGGAAGCTGAAGCGGAAGAAGAGAGCTTCCAAGTTGCGACCTCAAGCGTATCCTTGCACCTTTACTGGGGAGCACTTGGGAGAGGGTGTGGTCGCTCTCGAGTGTGTTGACAAGGAGGGAGGGTCTGAGAGTAGTAGGGGGAGTGGCAAGGGTAAGTAGAAATTGAGGTGGGAAGTGCAAATTTTCGGGCCTTAAGGGGCTGATGACAAGCGGCAGTGCAAGATTTGTACTGATAGGATTTCATGGAAGGGCGTAATTTGTACTCCAACACCAGGAGTGCGTAATTTCGAGAGCTGGCACATGGCTCATATGGACGTGTGGTATCACCGTTATCACCATCCACACCTCTTGTTGCCTGGCGAAACGTTTCCACGAGGGGGGCTACATATGTGTGCCGGATGGCTACGTCGATCGAGCGGGGGGGGGGGTCAGGCGGGATCGAGCGCTTCATGACGGCCAAGCTCTCCAAGGCTGCACTACGGCAGGCGATCGCCAAGCTGGTGGTCACCTGCGAACTTCCCTTCCGCATTGTCGAGGCCGAGGCGGTGAGTGTCTACTAACGATTATGGATGGTATGTTATGGATGGTTTGGACAGCATAACCAGAATCATATGTGTTAGAGACTAAGGACGGAGTCTATGAAGATTAAGAGCCGAAATATCTCAAAATCGTCAACTATAATTCTGGACAGACACGTCGTCGTGACAAGAAACGTCGTCGACGAAAAACGCACAGTTAGAATTCTCTCAAACTCGAATATATTGTAGCCCTTAACTGTGGCTATCTTTCCCAATTCGAATCGTATAAAAAAATGGAGTATAACTCGAGTTATGAACTTCGGCGCACTAGATGGTATGCTGCCTTAGAAACTTAACTCAATCACAAGTTATCTCACAAGTTCACACGAGAAAGTTGGAGTAGCAATTGTACCAGGTAGGAGGGGATGAGGAGGACGAGAGGGAAGGTCCCAAGGGAGTCCCCAACCAAGGAAACCCCATACCACACAATTCCCCTCTCTATAGGCACCCCAACTTTGACATTTGTCACTTTCCCAACTCATGCCATCCACCTCACCCAACTTGGCCACACTTGCCAACCTGGTTTGGCTTCTCCCAACCACTTGGCATCATCTACAGTAATGGTGACGAATTTCCCAACCCCCAAAAATCTTTACCCCATATTGAGTCAACCCACAAATTCCCATAGTCGCCGCATCTCAATCAAAACTTCGAACGATCATATCTTTCTCGTTCTTGCTCCGATCGCGGTGATTCTCAGTTCGTCAGAAAGCTCTTGAGCAGAGGAGTCACTTCAGATATCTGCTCAAGGCAAATAACACTCATACACACTCAGAAAATCCAAACAACACCAAACACAAATTCTTGCACACGCTCACACCACGCATGCAACACACGAACATATGATGGGAGGCAGACAGACGTGAATGCAAATGATAGCATCACATAACAATATGAATGGCATGGTATGGATGGTCTGTAATGGAAGGATGAGAATCGAATGCCATTCCATTTCCAATCCATCCCCCAAACCCTACTTAAACCATCTTTGACTGAATGTGTGCGTTCCCCTCTAGTTTCGCGAGCTGTTGACGCTGTGCGACCTCCACTACGCGGAGAAGAACTTCATCCCCTCGCGCTGGAATGTTGCACGCAACACCGTTGTGTTTGCTGCGGCCGCTTTACAGGCAGCCATTGTGGAGCTGCTGGCGAAAGGGGGGGAGTTGGGGTGCAAGGTGTCCTACATCATCGTCATGTGGACGGCACCCAACGGCAAGGCATGGCTGGTGGTGACAGGTCACTGGATAGACGAGTCGTTTCAGCTGCGCACGGCAGTGCTAGAATTTCGAGAGATGCACGGGCGTCATGGGGGTGAGGAGATGGCGAAGGTGGCGGAGAAGGTGGTGGTACAGTGGGGGTTGCAGGGGCGCTATCTGGGTCTCACGACCGACAACGCCTCTAGCAACATTGCCGCTTTCAGGCATTTGTCGGAGGAGGGCGCTGGTCAGGGATTCTTCAACTCCCGCATGCACTTCAGGTATGTGGTGGTGTGTGGGCTCGAGATTGGGCTTGCGGGTGGGTTGGTGCGTGGGCTGGTGGGTTTGCTGTTGGGAAGTGGCTGCTCGTTGAAGCATTGACTATGTTTATTCAATTCCCCACCCCCTCGCCACTGTTGTTGTGTTCCACATGTGCTTGTCACACACGTGATCAACCTTGCGATGCAGGGGGCGTTGTCCGTGGAGACCATATGCGAGGTGCTGCGTATGGTTAGAGAGATGGCGTCTTGGATCGGTTTTTTGCCACAGTGCTCAGGGGCGTTCTTGGGGCTCCAGAGCAGCTTGAGCTTGCAGGCCAACATCAACACCTCACCATTGAAGCTGGTGCAGGACAGTTCTGTGCGTTGGGGCTCGACGCATGACATGGTCAGCCGCATCGTTGTTTTACAGAACCCCATCACAGTGTTTTTTGCCTCGACCCATGTATGGCATGTGGGTCAAACTTTGGGGGTGTGTGAGCAATGGGTTACGCATCACTTCATCGCTCTTCACCACACCATGTCCCGGGCAGGTGCCATCTCCTCTTGCCCTTTGTCTTGATTTCATGCTTCTCCCCACTACCCCCCTGTTCCTCTCGTTTCCCCCCCTTCTCCCTCAATCTCCTCTGTTTTCCCTCCCTTCCTCCACTGCTGTCTCACCACCTCGCTCTGCTGCCTTATCGTCCTCATCTGCCTCCCCTCCCCTTTCCCTATCACCGCCTGCCAGCCCCCTCCCTTTGCCTCCTATCCCACCTCCCTCACCCTCTTGGTGTTGGGCTTGTATGTTGCTCTCAAAATGCGCACTATACCTCTGAACCTCTTCCCATTTTCACCCACCACACCACACCATGTCCCGGACAGGGCTTGACGCATGCGGAGAAGGACAAGATGGATAGCCTGCTTCTAACAGACTTGCACTGGGAGATCTTGGAGGCGTTGAGGGCATTTCTTAGCCCCTTCAACAGGGTCTCCAAGGCAACTGAGGGGACGGCGTACCTGACAGTGTCGATGGTGGTGCCGTACTACAACGGCATGATCGACGCCATGGATTCGCGCCTGGCAAAGGGGCCATCTGCGACGCTGCAGCCGTTAATCGTCGCAGCGCTTGTCCACTTGAAGAAGTACGCGTACATCATCAGCAACGAGTACTGGATTGCCACCTTTCTGGACCCATCCACGAAGGCGGCATGGTTCAATGACGATCACTGGGAGAAGCTGCATCCAAAGACCCCTAGGAGGGAGAGGCCGAGTCACGCGTCCGGCGAGGTCATCACGCTTGTATGTGAGCATGTGACAGAGTATCAGGCTGCAGCTGCACGGCTTGCTCCTCGGCCGACATCACATGCCCGCGTTGTGGAGGAGGGAGAGAGGGGGGATGACAAGGACGATGAGTTTCTTTCTAGTCACCAACGACTTGCTGTGCGTCTGTCGACGAGACAGGCGCCAAGGGGGGGGGTGGGATGGTGCAGGACGATGAAGTTAGTAGGTACTTGTCTGAGCGCGTGCGGTATGACGTGATAGCGTTAGAGTATTGGCCCACCGCCACCAACATGTTGACGCTGCAGCGGATGGCCAGGGATTATCTCGCCATCCCTGCCAGGGTCTGCTGCGAGTGAGCGAGTGCGCACCCTGGGTCACAACCTCATCTCCTGGAAGCGGCACCGCCTGAACTTCGAGAGGGTGCGGTCCTCCATGATCCTCAGGTCATGGTATGTATCACACCCTGGCTAGAGGATCGGCGAGGGCCGCCGACCGAGAGGATTCGCATCACCGGAGTTAGACATTGAGGGCGAGGGGGCGGATGACGGCAAGGAGGAGGAGGAGGAGGAGGAGGAGGAGGAGGAGGAGGAGGAGGAGGAGGAGGAGGAGGACGCTGGTGGGGCGGGGTCTGGTGTTGTTGGTAGCAATGGGACCAGTGCGTAGCATTGTTTTGCCACCACCATTTACATCATGGCTCTTGTTGTTGTGCTGTGCATGTGCCCGTTCTTGCCACTTTGAACCATAGAGACATTAGTTGTTTAGGCATGAACCAAACATGATATATTAAGTGTAGGTACATTGCATATATACAAGAACACCCTAAACCCCCCTACCAAACATCTGGGAGGGCCAAATTCCTTGTTTGCCATGTGTGACTATAATAAATGTTTTTTGGGGGCGAACATGAACATGTTTGCCACGAACACGTTCATGTTCGCCTCTGTCGGCAAGGTGTTCGCCTTCACAGGCGAACACTGAACACTTTTTTTTTTGCAAAAAGTGATCGGCGAACCGAACATTGTTATGTTTGCCGAACCGCAGTGTTCGTGCAGGGGCGAACACGAACACGTTTGTGTTCGCTTGTTGCTCAAGCCTAATGTGTTCACTTACAGTCATGTATTGCACTGACAATCATGTTTTACACAAGCAGACATGTGTTGCACTGGCAGTCATGTGTTGGACTGGCAGTCATGTGTTGCATCAACCGGCATGGCGCACTGACCTGCCTGTGGGCATCGAGCAGGATGTTGGCGGGCTTGAGGTCGCGGTGCATGATGCCAAACGAGTGCAGATACTCTTTTCAGAAGAATGAACGAGAATGAATGAACTAGCAAAGAGTTGGGTACAAGTATTAACCCTAATTGGGTTGTACCCCTTATGGGCTACCCCACTATAGCCTATACAATATAAGCTATACAACATTTTGACACACCCCCATAGGCAAAGTGGGGGAGAGCAAGTGGTCACAAGACCAGTCAAGAAAAGCAAAGCAAGCTCGGGGTGGATCACAAAGTCACCACACAGTCCGAGCAGAAGCAAAGGGCCACAAGGCCAGTTCACATGCAGAGTTATATAAAAGAGAACAAACAATACAGTGATCATACCCTAGCAAGTGTAAGCATGCAAGTATATATATAGATCATGTTGGTGTAAGGGCCTAATAAACTCAAACTATTAAGACTTTATCAAACTTAAAACCTCTCCTCGGGGTCACTTCCAAGGGTCCTTGGGTGCCTGGTACAAGACCAGCCCCTATCCTCGGGTCCGAGTTTGTAGAGAGAGGGATCAAGAGGGACTTAGTCAAAACAGCAAGAGTACCTTGAACGTCGCGCAGCGTATCGTGCAGACCGTCGATCGGATTAAGCTGAGAATTTCCTATATCGAAGCTCGCTCCAAGAGCTTTAAAATGAACCAAGTTGCCTCGTGAAAAGTTCTGCCATTATGAAGTTATGGCTCGGACAGCGTTTGCCTAGTTTTGGAGTGCTAGCGTACTAGCGTTGACTCGGGTAGCATTCCGCCGTCGCACCGCGTAGAAACGAAATTCCAGGAAGGGAGAAATTCGCTTGAATCAAATTGAATATATATAGGTACAAACAGAGAAGGAATATATAGTTCTAGCTAACAAGGACCTTGGGAATCAACCTGGGAACAACCAGGGATGATCCCAAATAATTCCAAGCAACAGAACCAACCTGGCTGGACAAAACAGCAGGTGGTAGATTGATAAACAACCTCTGGTTCTGTTTTTCCAACCTGGGAAAACAACAACCAGGTTCAGGTCCTAAAAACAGAACCTGTTTTGTCTTTGCCAACCAGCCAAATGCTGGTTTTGCTGGTTTCCCCTGGCCCTGTAGCATGCAGATACAGACAAACAACATCCAACCTTCACCTAAATTGTACCCCTATAGTGCCTGCCCTGCTACACTATAGTCAACAAAACAAAACAGTACAAGTTCGAGTTGGATAGAACTGAATCTGCGCACTCAATTCAACCGAACTGCAAAGCTTCCATCTTGGGTTCCTTTGCGAGCTCGTCCTTTCTGCTTGCACTGTTCATAGCGCGTACAATGTTGTGCCGAAGCGCACATTGCGCGAGAACCTGCAAATGCATCAAGCGAAAATTGCGAAAACAAACAAACACACGAACATTCCATTCACACCCAAATGCATTCGCACACGCATACTCGTACAAACAGACGGCAGGATGTCGTGCAATGTGAATTTGCACCCAACAGATCACAGTACAAGCAGAGTCAAGAAGTGAGCAAGTGAGGCAAAGTAGGCACATGGCCTAACACAGTAGAGAAGCGCTGATGATCACCAGGCGGAAGTGCCTTGGTGAATATATCAGCACTATTGGCCCTAGTGGCCACGTACGCAAGACGAAGCTGGCCACGCTGCTGCAACTCTTGAGCAAGGAAGTATCGCAGAGTGATGTGCTTTGTTCGGTGCTCCAGTCTGTGCTCCTGACACAAGCCAATCATGGCGTTGTTGTCTACGTACAGAACTAGAGGCGAACCAGGCTGCTCTCCCAAGTCAGTCAGCAGGTAGGTGAGCCAGCGTAGCTCCTGTGCAGCCATGGCCCCTGCGTAGATCTCAGCCTCACAACAGGAGCTGAGAACCGAAGACGAGCGGGTAGACCGCCAGGAAACAGAGCCGGAACCAAGGGTGAAGGTGTAACCTTGTGACGACCGCTGCGTAGCTGATTCGTCAACCCAAGATGCGTCTGCGTGACCAGTGAGGACAACTGGACCCCGTCCTCCAAGCACGAGCCCCATGCCTGACGTACTGCACAAGTAACGCAGTACCCTCTTCGCAGCATCCCAGTGCACCTTTCGGTGCCTACCGGGAGCCACGTAGCGAGCCAGAAGGCTGAGAGGGTACGCGAAGTCAGGTCGTGTGCACGTCATCAGGTACATGAGGCAACCCACAAGCTCTGGGTACGGACCACTCGGCTCTACGGACTCATCCGAAAATGGAGCTGAGAGCGAGTGGCCGGTGGATAGAGGAGTGGGCTGTGGCGAGGAGAACTGGAAGCCGAAGCGCTGTAGGACCTCGTGCACCATGTATGACTGAGTCAGGGTGATGGTGCGCCGAGCTCTGTCCCGGGTGATCTGCAAGCCAAGATAGGTGCGCAGTTCACCCAGGTCAGTGCAGGTGTGTCTTTTCTGCAGCTCCGACTTCACAAGGGTCAGTGCCTCGGTATCTGCAGTGGCAAAGACGAGGTTGTCGACGTACACGAGGACGTAGAACGGCGGTAGCGAGGTGTTGGTGCATAGAAACAGCGACGGGTCAGCAGTAGAAGGAGCAAACCCAAGAGCCGCAAGTGTAGTCCTCAGTGTCTCGTGCCACTCGCGAGGCGCCTGGTGGAGACCGTAGACTGGCCGCCGGAGGCTCCACTGGGTACCTGCAAGAAACGACCCAGGGAAGCCAGGTGGGCGGCGCAGCCAGATCTCCTCGTGCAGGCTGCCCTGCAAGAAAGCTGTACTGAAGTCCAGAGAGTGGAACTCGTAGTCACGCTGAGCAGCAACGTGCAGCAACACCCGAAGAGTAGTCATCTTCGGGGTGGGGGAGAAGGTCTGGAAGTAGTCAACCCCTTGTCGCTGACTGAAGCCTCGAGCAACGTAATGCGCCTTGAAGGCAGGCGGAGAACCCGACGGCCGCTTCACCCTAAAAATCCACATGCTATCGACTATGTTCGCCCAAGGTGGGGGAACCTCGTCGACGTAGGTGCCTGTAGACTTCCAGGATGCCATCTTGGCATCCATGGCTGCCTGCCACGGAGAGGAGTAAGGACCCGTAATCGCCTCTGCGTAAGAGCGCAAGGTTAGGATATCTGGTGCATCCTGGTCTCCCTCAGGGGCAAGTAGCATGGAAGCGAAACGAGGTACAGCAGCTGCTAGACACTCAAAGTCCTCCTGCCTGTCCTCAAGGACGTCCGTGCCAAGAGCACACTCATCCCCGACGGACGGAGGACTGGCAGACGCAGACTCAGCAACAAAAGTTGTGGCGTAGTCTAGACGACAAGCAGCAGCAAAGTCAAGCAGCTCAGCAACGAGGGCATACGCAGCAGCAGACTCAAAGGAAGGGTCAGTGACAGCAGTGGCGAGGAGACGAGAGACAGTGGGACTGGCAGCACGAGCGCGGTCAGACTCAGGGTCTTAGACCTCAGGAAGAGAGGACTCAGGAGGAGCAGGCAGAGGAACACGCAGTGGAACAGAAGAAGGACGAAGTGCCATAGCGTGTATGCCGGGGATAGGAGGAGGACGCGAACGAGGAATGCGACGAGCAGTGCGAACAGGCGAGGCAGGACGAGACGCAGGCTCACGACACTCTGTAACACCGCTGGACTGCTCAGTGTAAGGAGAAGGAGCAGGCAGTGGGGAGGCTGGCTGTAACGGCGGCTGCGACTGGTCAAGCGGTGGACACAGTAGGGGAGGAGGAAGACTAGGAGAAGACGGGACCCCAAGAACCTGCTGAAGAAGGGGAACGAAGTAGGGTCGCGGCCGCACAGTGCCTCCAGCACTAGGACCACCAGCACTCCCAGCTCTAGCACCTCCAGCTCCAGGGTCAACAGCTCCAGCTTCTCCAGCTCCAGCGCCTCCCGCGCTAGTGCCTCCAGCTCCAGCTCTTCCTTCTCCAACGCCACCAGCGCCAGTGCCTCCAGCTCCAGCTCCTCCAGGCTCCGTAGGGTCTCCAGCTCCAGCGCCCCCAACACCACCAGTCCCGGCAGCTCCAGTACCCCTGGTACGAGCACCTCCAGGACCAGTAGCCGCAGTACCCCCAGTACCACCAGCTCCAGCAGTAACTCGAGCACCTCCAGCTCCAGCAGCTCCAGCGCCTCCAGCTCCGGTAGCTCCACTCTGAAGGTGTGCACGGAGAACAAGCCACTCACGCAGCTGCTGCGGAGACAGTCTGGGCGAAGCACCAGGAGGACGTCCGGACGATGCAGCACCCTGAGGCTCAGCACGCCCAGACTCCGCAGCGTCCGACTCAGCACCCTCAGGCTCCACACCCTCAGGCTCAGCACCCCCAGGCTCCACACCCCCAGGCTCAGCACCCCCAGACCCAGCACCCTCAGTCTCCGCAACCTTGGGCTCCACACCCCAAGACGCAGCACCCCTAGACGCAGCACCTCTAGCAGCACCTGAGCCGACAGCTAC